GGGCCACCGCGTCCTGCTGATCTTCAAAGCCTGGCAGCTGCAAATCCAGGCGCACATTTCAAGATGCTGTAGCTCCTGCTCCTTCTGCAAGACACTTACAAGTCGCCCCTGCCATATTTTTGGCACCCGTAAGGGACGTAGGTTACCACTGCCTTCCGTATGATTCAGCTCTCTCTGTTTGTGTGCGTGGCCCGTAAGTGCTAGCGAAGTCTTGTGGAGAGAGTTGTTGGTTTGGAGCTGCTGTTTCCTTTGAACTGATTTAATTTTCAAAGTTTTACTCTAATCAGTATACTGTTGCAATACTGCATGGTTTTGTTTATTTAAAATCTCTCCCTAAATATGTTTTAGTTATATCTGAATACTGCTACTAACCACTACTAGAGCTTATGTTACAAAATCGTAACTTCAGATGACATGATCCACAACAAGTGAGTTTTTTGGGTTTTTTTTAATTTCATGGGCCCTGAGCTTTGTGAAAGTTTGCAAATCCATCCTGCTTCATACTGCCCGATAAGCCCATCTAGCCACAGCTATTCTTCATATTTTTGGGTCCCACAGATGATTCAAGATTAAAAGTGACATGATTTCTTTGTCACTGTAAGCAGGCGTTCATACTGAATGAGGTGGTCATCCCCCTGCACCGGTCACAGGGTCCTGCCCTTCCACTGGACTTTCCTGTGTGCTGGGGATATCACCCAACTGAGCGGTAAAGCAGATCAAGGTTAAGCGTAACTGATTTTCTCGTCACTGGTCTAGGCGTAACCCAGTCCAGTTTGCCACGCAGCCATAGAAATGCTTGCACAGGCATGAAGAAGGACAGGGCGCAGGTGTGAAAATGAGCATCTTATGGCAGAAGTGGAACCGTCTTTCTCAGCCCCACTACTGTCTTACCGTGATCTAATCATGAAACTATGGTACTACCCTACTTGAAATTCTGCTTATAAAGTAGCATATTGGCAAGCATGGCCGGGTAACATAATCAGGCTTTTAACTGCTCACGAACTGTACAAAGAGGATCAGAAACATTTAAAATGCACAAGTGGTCTTTCCATCGTACCACATCACAGCAGCCAGACCCAGACTGGCATATTTTATGCTCACAGTAAGGTCAAATCCATCTGAAGAAATAAAAAGTACCTCAGAAGACATAGCCTAAGAGTCTAGAAATTGCTGTTTCATGACCCAGATTTCCACCAAAGAATTCCTGGAACTTGCCCTTGTCCCACTTTTCCCAGCTCGTACTTCCTGTGTTCTTCTTTAGGGCCCACTATCGTTGCTACTGTTTGTTTTGGTTTGTTTTTTTATTTTAACATTATTGCATTTGTCGAAAGTGTGAAATCACAAGGAACTCAAAAAGCGAGTTAAACATCTGTTGCCTGAGATTATACGGCAGCAAAGCATGGAATTAAACCCAGGCACTCCACGTAGTCTTCAATTCGGCTGGTAACAAAACGGGGTTCACTGTTTTTTCCAGCTCCCCTCTCTAATCCCTGAAACGTGCCCTCTAGGTAACCGCTGCCTCTGAATTTAAGCTCAGCTTTGCTTCAGATACTGTAACATTCATTCAGTTGCGGCTGTGGGGAGCGGTGAAGTGGGAGCTCCCCTTGTTCTCTAATACCAGGTTATGCAATCAGATTAAGGAGCCATCTGCAGCGCAAACCGAAACCGCGCTATAATCGCGTTCGCGGGCTCATGCAGAATTTGGGCTTACGCAAGATCTGTCCCTCCTCGAATCATTCACCAGCCTCCCCGCTCCTCCTCCTCCTGCAAGCCAAAAACACGCGGTCAAATACTTCAGCGATTAAATCATCATGCTTTGAGCATGGGCAGCTTGGATGCCGTTGCTGAGATTTAGAGGACTGTTTGCGGCAGTTCAAAAGGAAAGCAAAACCTCACCCTCCGCTGTGTGCGCTTGGAACGCGCTTGAAGAAATATCGTGGGTCAAAGCTTGGTGCTTCTGCCGCTCCGCTGTCGACAGCTGAATTGTTAAATGGTTTCATGCAAATGGGTTGCTTACGTAGCTTTCTAGTCTCGAAACTAAAATTACGTGCTGTTATCAAGTATTTTCACAGTATCTGTTTCAGCTAGTCGCGCGCACAGCAGGGTCTTGGCTTATCGCTAGCGAAAATAATTCTGCATTTCCCATCTTTTTTGTCATTAAAAGCCACCTTTATTATTAACAAAAAGCCCTTTGAAATGACAAGACTGGAAACTCGCACTTCCAAGTCGTCTTTCTCTTCAAAGACCTTCACTGGAGGAACGCAGGACGGAGCCCTGGACTACACGTGGTTCAAAACCAGCTTTAACAAAGGGCCGAGCTGCGGTCGTCCTCGGCCCGGAG